TATATTTTCTTAATTGACACCGCAATTTGAGAATTGTTCTCATGCATGAGAAAATTGATCACTTCCTTGAGTAGCCCTTTCCAGAGACACCTGCTGATGACTCGATTAAAGAAGAGGTGGCTACTGTAGTGAATGCAGTGATGACAATAGTACTACAACGTATGTGATACTTGCAACTATGTCATTGAGTTACAAAAGCGACTTGAGAGTATAGATGTTAGCACATAATTCTTCACTACAAAGAGTTGTATGATAATAATCGTGTGTGGAAGGATATGAGACTTCCAAACAACTATATTGGTGCAAAATGACAGAGTAATTTTCAATCGATACTTAGACACTGAAGATGATTGACGTTGAGAAATGTCTCAATTGAGTTCAATCATAAACCATGAACTAAGTAGTGACTTGGTTCTGCAATCTCTGTCAGAGAAAGCTATTCATAACTAATTATGAATTTAACGTGAATAAGCTTGAATGCAAAATTATTAAATTGCTTAACATGCTTAGAACTGTTAAGCTCTTTATCAAAGTTGGTAGTGGGCAAACCATTGATTCCTCTTAAGATATTAAGAGGAAGTCTAAAGGGGCTTTGTGAAAGCATCCAATATGGTTAAGACAGTCTAAGCGAAGGACAAATATCAAATCTAATGACCCTTGTTTTCATTATAGAATGAAAGGTCATTGGTAGGAATATAGCGTGGCTTATGTCTACTTCACGAGTTTTTTAGGTATTTAATACCAGATGTAAATATCATATTTATACAAATATGGAGAAACTAAAAATAAGTAGACCACTGTGAAAGAGAGAAGTTGACATACACGTTAGAGATGAGCAAAGGTTGCTGCATTGCCTGTATGAATATACTTCTTGCCATTGCTTTTTGGTTTAGTATTGAAATTAAAGAAACGTCGCCTTATACCAACCATAGCTAGAACATTAAAGTGAATGTCATGAACTATTTTAATGTTAAGGACAATAGTTGTTCTTGTTTATTTTGATAAAGGTCCTAATGGCTACGGTAAATTATAAAACGACGTTTATATTCTTTAATACTGAGGATTCTATAATGAGTATAGAAATTATAAGGTATAAATACTATAATCTAATTATTACCCAAATCTGGCACAACAGACTTTGTCATATAGATGAAAAGTAATTCCAAAATTACATAGAGATGTATATTTAGGATTAATTGATTTTGACAAGTACAAATTATGCATGTCTGGCACAATGACCAAATCTTCTTTTACTTGAAAAGAAGAAAGGTCAGCATAATTACTAGTCTAATGCATAGTGATGCATATAGACTCGTGTCAATTAATGTCAGATAATGTTTGTCTTATTTCACCAGTGATCATATACTTGATGAAAAACCAAACATGAAACTTTTGAAAAATTCAAGGGATTCAAACTAAAAGTAGAGAAACAAATAGGTAAAAATACCCTCACATTAAGATTCGATCAAGTGAGAGTATCTTAAAGATAAAATCTAGATTATCTAAGAGAGAATATGATTCTCTTGCAGTGAACTCCCTCATATACACTGCAGCAAGGTGATGTATCTAAAAGGAGGAATCTTTAATTATTAGATATAATGCGGTTAATAACAAGTCATGCAAATCTCCCAAAAATTGTTTTGGAGTCGTGCATTGATTGCAGTGTGCAACACATTAAATCATGTCCCATCTAAATTGGTTAACAAGACTCCATACGAGTTATGAAAAGACAATAGTCCCAATTTATCTTATATGAAAGCTTGGGGCCATGATGCTTATTTGAAGCGTCCTGAATCTGATAAATACGTATTTGTGAGGATATTCAAAGCAGACGTTTGAATATTAATTCTATTATCATGAAGAAAGTCTTCGTCTCACGACATATCGTCTTCTTAGAGAAAATGTTTACTCTAGGAGAGGATAGTGCGAGTAAAATAGAATTTGAAAGAGTTCAAGAGTCCACAGATATAGTTAACCAAGTAGATAAATTCGAGTTTGATCCCATATCTGATATGGGACATACTTTGGATCAGGAAGTAAAGACTCCTGAGGACATGACAGCTCTATGTGAATCTAGGAGGATCATTCGACCTTCAAGAAGGTGCGAATCCATGATCATTAATCAGGTATTAGTGATCCAGGATAAGGAACATGCTAGTTGCAACAAAATAGAGTCAAGTGTTGACTTAAAAGAGACAGCAAGAGGTCATGATACTCGAGATGAACTTTACGTATGTGAACAAGGTTTGGACCTTGGTCGAGCCTCTTGTTGGAGTAAAACTCATAAGGTTTTGTAAATAATTTACAAGGGAAGGGTCGATATGGATGTGAATATCCATATATACAAAGCAAGGTTAGAAGCAAAGGTTAAGTGTTGACCTTGATAAAACATTTCTCATGTGGCTTTGCTGAAGTCCATTCGGGTTTTATTTGCAACAGTTGCATATTGTAACTAAAAGTTACGATAAGTCTCTATGGAGCTGAAATCTTCGATTTGATGGAAAAGTCAAAGTGTTTGATTTTATCAAATTTGAAGATGAAATGTGCGTTTACAAGAAGATAGTGAGAGCATTGTCGTATTCCTAATATCATAAAAAACGACATTCCTATGTTTCAATCGTTGAAATAATGGTTGTTAAATGATTTATTCATGAACGATATGGGAGAAGCAACTTGATTTATAGAGATAGATCTAAAAGATTGCTTAACTGATTCCAATTTACATAGATGAAATCTTCTGGAAAAACTGGTTTACTCTTAAACGGTGTATTGGAAAGGTTCCAAATGTGAAGCAACCGTTGATTCAATAGTAGAAACCTAATATATGATTACTTCAGAAGTAGCAAAGAGTTGCAATCTGGATCATGATATTCATAAATGAACTTAGAATAGTTTCTAATATTGTTGATCACATGCCATTGTATTGTGATAACAATAGAGCCATTGCGAAAGTAAAGGAACTAAGGTCTCATCAATGATCCAAACATGTATTAAGTCGGTATAATCTCATCAGAGAGATAATACATAGAAATGATGTAAAGAGAAGAACAAATTCCCACATTTAACAATATTGCAGATCCACTGACAAAGAGTTGTCGTAGTATAAACATGATCGTCATGTAGACTTATGATATTGGATACATAAGTGATTGGATCTAGTGAAATGGGAGTTTGTAAGTATTATGCCCTAAGTCCAATCAACTTTGTACATAAATACTTGTATATATAATTAATGCTATTTAATGACAGATCTATTATTTAATTAATAGACAATTAAATAAATAATAGAGTCCGTAGATTCAAATTTTCATAATTTGTTAATCACAAGGAGTTGTGATTGTGAGATATAAATTACATCTGATTGAATCTTAAATCGTTCGTGGTCGTAAGTAATAACGAGATACGGATATCGTTATTACGGATAGACCATCACGTGTGACATTTCTTACTTGTGAAGTAAGTAGCTGATCTCACAAGTTAAAGTGTGGTGACACTAAAATGACACGTGGATGTTTTGTTATAGAACAAAACATTGGAGACCCGCCGAGAGATTCCACATGAATAACTATCTGAGTGTCAGTGGTTAATTTCTAACATTCGGTAGTGGAATTGGTCCTTAGACTTGAGAACGTTATGGTACCTTATATGAGGACAGTCATACTTTAGCGGTGTTGGATGTTGCTCTGCAAAGGGCCGCTAATACGATATCGTTCGGGTACGTCAAGAATCGTATGAAGGTTGTGATTGACCAATAAAGGATTCGTCACTCTTAGATAGTAGGAGATTATGATCTGCGTTTCATTCAATTAAGTCGATAACGAAATCCTTGGCCAAGGTGTACTCATAAGTCGAAAAGGAGTTTTCGACTTATATTGACTTAATAGTGGAGTGAAAGTTATGATCGAAATTCGGGATTGACACACTTTCATATCTCGTAATTGATCGGATCCTATTGACGAAGGGATTATAGTTTCACGGTAAACGAACAAATTTGATTTTGTCATACCACGTGACATTTCCCGTCAAATGTATTGTCCGACACATTGCTAGATGTCAATCAGGGATGGCGAGTGTGAATTGACTATATATTAAAAGGGTATTTTAATTTATTAATTTTGATTAGATCAAAATAATATTTCACGTCGTTAGGCATCGTGGTCGGAAACCTAATGGGTCGCACACAAAAGAGAATTGGAAGATTGCAAATTGTCAATTGGTTAGTTTAACAATCGTTGGATAAATTAATTAATTGGATTTGTTATTTATATTCCCGAATTAATTAATTGGATTAATTAATTCACGGACTAGGTTTAATTAAATGGATTAATTAAATATTAGACCGGACCGGGCCGAGCCCGTTTGGGTCTATATAAATACATGGTTAGGGTTTGAGGTCCATATGATTTTCATTATTCTTATTGGCACAAGAGGAAAACTCTGGTAGCTGCAATCTTGTTCTCTGTGTGGATCACCGTTGGAGGCTGGACAATTAGATAGTTGTGGATGGTGAATCAAGATTGCTGGAACGAAGAGAAAAGCAAAAAATTTGCAGAATTCTTCAAAGGTACAGTCTTTATCACGATTTCTATCTAAACACAAAGGGATCCTCGGTGGGAATCGAAATAATTTTAATTTTTCGTTGTGCGTGTATAAGTAGATTCCCAACAGCGACAACCATTGCTGTCTCAATGCCGTACTTTTTTGGCCACAAATTAATTGTCAAGGACTTCGTATTATAAAATACATTAGAAGAAAAGCGTCTTCGCAGATCACAAGCCATGGAAAGAGCCTGAAGCCAATCGAGAAACATAATTGCGAATGACACTCTGAACTATGAGTTTAATTATAGACAGGCACACATTTACCTGAATAAGATGATGGTTGAATTCTACACGAGTAGCCTTAAAAAGCTCCCTGGTCATTTTGATCACACATCGACTAAATTCATCAATGCTTCTGATTTTCATTACACAGTGAACTTCAGCATTAGCAAGAAATTTTCAACTATGTGGAGGTATGTCGAAATCATAACATCTTCTAACGCCACCCGTATCTATAAACTGCATGAGATTTGGAGCTTGAATGCTGATGGAGCATCCATCCATCCCTGGACAGCTACACATGATAAAAGTTTTTAATCTGGCGGCAGAAACACAAAGAACTTTAAAACTATCAATATTGCAAAAGAAAATTGACAGCTTTTCTAGTGCCGGCAAACTCGGGTAAAGATCTTGTCTTAAGCCCAGCTCAGACAGTACCAAAAACTTGAGGCTTAGTTTTCGGAGGTTGGGAAGTTCAAACTTTCTAGGCCACACGAGAACATCATCTACTAATGCCAATTCCAGTTTGACAAGGGACTTGCAAGCAAATAAACAATCTGGAAGGTTTTGGACTTCATCAATGCTTCCATAGAGGACAAGCTTCTTAACATTGTGCCGAACAGCAAACACAATCCAGTCATTCTTGATCTGAAAATTATAGTGATTTGAAGTGGAAAGGCAGAATTCGAACACATGAATATCTGACTCATCATGATGAGCAAGTACTTGATTGATGAAATTCATGAAATCATCCCTCTTCCTCTCCATTTCCGGAAAATGATTGTAGTCAAAACAAAGTTTTTGAAGGGAATAAAATGTTGTCTCCAGGTTCTAGACAAAATATAAGTTCGTGTAGCATCAATAGTAGGAAGAAAAGTGAGAATGTGCCTTTGAATTTCTTCTGGCAACCTACTCAGACGGTCAGCACTTTCCATTGCTAGATTCTTTTTTGGAAGTATCATAGTGGCCAGCCATTGTTTCCCCCCTGGTTTAGAAAAAACCAATACTTGATGATGGAAAAATATCAAGCATGATGATAGATATACATTTCAAATTAAATTTCAAATTAAATTCCAGGAATTAGTGAAGCTGTGGAAAATAATTATGTGAAGATTGGGCTGTATATTTCTCCTTGGGAAATTGACAAAACTAAAAAGGATTTTTATCAGATTAGTTTACAGGTGCTATCTACTGAGTTGGCAACATTAAATAAAAAAATAAAAAGGTTAAACTAGCCTACGAAATGTTGCCAACTTAGCACCGGTAAAACTAGAGATGGCAATTTGAACCGTCAAAACCGAAAACCGCGGTTAACCGAACCGAATGGGGCGAAAAAAACCGAACCGATGGTGCAATGGGGCGGATATGGTTTTGATTTTAATGAACCGGTTCGTAATGGTGCGGGTATGGTATTTACGTCGTCGAACCGAAACCGAAACGATTACCCGCTAAAAAAAAAAAATTGAATTGATAATGGACTTTACACTACTTTTCTATCAAAATCAAAACAAAATCCCTCCCCTCCTCATTACATCTACCTGACTCATTCGGCCAGTCTACTTAGTATTAGCCCATAATAGCATTAGTATGACAGTATATAAATGTAAACCCTACTATCCACAACCACAAACTCACGCACGGCCCCATTGCCTCTACGGTCCAAATCGTCGTCGCCTCCGAAAATTTGTTACATTTGTTAGTCATTTTATTACTACCAATCATGTAAAAACAAAATTCGATGTTTTTCTAGACGTGCCAATATTGCCAAGGATGAATAGGAATCAACTTTGAATGCTGATCCATACTAGTAAGACTTGTAGGGATGAATGCATCATGTAACTTCAATGCACAACAATTAAGAATGAAGGAAAAGTTTAGTATTATTATATTTATAATATTGTTTGTTAAATTTGTATTTTACAATTGAAAATTAGGATAATGTTTACATTTACGTTTGGAATATTGTTTGATAATGTTTGCATTTTCGTTTAGAATATTGTGTTTTTGTTTTCATTGACTTTTTCCATAAATTGTTTTATATCAATTTGACGGATGAACCTATAAAAAATAATTTATTTTCGTGGTTATTAACCGAACCGAACCGTGCCGAACCGAGATAAAAACCGAACCAAACCGATTTACGTGGTTATGGTGCGGTTATGGTATGGTCAAAAATTTGATGGTGCGGTTATGGTTTTGGCCGAACCGACCCATAACCGAACCGTTGCCAACCCTAGGTAAAACAATCTAGCAATCTATTAAATACATCGGCACAAGTAGCATTTTTGTAAAGATAAAACCTCTAATAGATAAGTATTCACTAAGCGACCAGTACATAAGGTAAACAACATCTATATTGTGGAAACCAACGAATTGTAAGGTTTTTGCTGTTATAGTCTCCTTTTTCCCGCCAAAATAATATAATAGTGCACCAAATAGTTGAGATGTCTATTTTATTTGTTTCAAACATTGACTATTTACTTCTGCAACACCCCGCACTGAGTAATGCTAGAGGGTCTGGAACGTTACGTGCACCAATAATAGATACCAACTAAAATTCGGACTCGCCATCAAGGCTACGACAATATGCAACTTTTATAAATTATTTTCAATAGGATTTCAACATTATTTCACTAACCTATAACCCACAAAAAATGTACCCTCTGCTTGAAGTATGTAATCTACCCCTCGAGCTAAAAACTTTTGCCACGAACTTGGCCTCCTCTGTGAACGAAAGCAAGTCTCAAAACCTTTGATAATCAATTCTAGAACGCAGTCAAGACCTTTCTGTAAACTCTATGTACATGGTCAAGATCAATGCCTGGTCAAAACCCCCTCCGTGTAGGATAGACTATGGTCAAGACCCCTCTGTGAACTAGAATATAATTATGGATATTTTTCCGATCGATCTCAAAATCAAAGTAACAAAATGAAAATTGAGTCAAACCTAACTTCTAGTCAAATATGTCATTAAAAAAAATGAAACAAAAAACATAGTGGCAGGCAATGGATTAAATATATATTATCCAATTCATTTGCTATAGTCATCCATTTTCACACACAACACATTTACGAAAAACGAGAGCAGGGAGAAAAGAAAGAGAAAAGAGGAAAGAAAAAAAGAGAGGAAGAAGAAGAAAAATTCGCGAAAATAAGTGGTTTATACTTTAAGCTTGAATTTCTCAATTTCGAAAGATAATTAAAAGTTACTTATTGCATAGTTATGTTTAATTTAGAGTTGTTAGATTATTAATTTAAATTCAATTTTATTGAAAGGGAACTAATTAAGTATAATAAGCTAGGACACTAAGTTAAAAGGAAGAAGAATAGCTTAAGTGATTAAAGAAGTTGGGAAAATTGCTTAAGTATAAAAGAATAAGGATTTGGTATCGCCTATTTGATTATTGAAGTAATTTAGATGGTTAATTGTTAATCTAAATATTATATCATATTTCAGGCGGTGATACGAATATTGGAACAACTTACCAACCAAGTTGATTTTGCGTACATAGTTCTATGAGTGGAAAAAATTTATATATTTTCAAATATTGATAAATTAGTTATACTATTACATTATGTTTAATTATGTGAATTTCTCGTACAATTACATGATTATTATGAAAGGTTCTTTCATTATGATATGTGTGAAATCATAAAAGTTACTTATGAATTGGAATGTGACAACTTTTACGTGAAAGGAGCCTTGGGGATGACCTAAGATATGTTATGTGAGAATGATAGATTACAATTTTGTATCTCGTATCACAGGAGTATTAAAACATCTATAGGCATCGACCTGTTGCACAAAGGAAAGCCACCCAACAAAAAATTAAAAATCAAAAATGAAAACAGTACCCTACCGTCAAACCTACCAAAACTAGATAATAACTTTCTAATATCAACTCTAAAAAGCAGGGATTATCAATCCATGATCTCCCTAAATTAGAAAAAAAAAAAAAAAAAAACCACACACACACACACTCTCACTTCTTGGCATGTTAAATATGCAACAACCCAATTACATTTGTAGCTACCTTCAAGAGAACTCTTATAAGCAGTTTTAACAACCACGTCTCCCCAAAAGTGCTTAGGTCCATTTCTAGAGAACATGAGAGCATGAACAACTTCAAGAAGGTGACCATTTGTTCTTTCGACTACACCATTTTATTAAAGAGAATTGGTACAAATATTTTGATAAATAATATCATTATACGTAAGATGCGTCCATTTTTTAACGTACAAACGTCTCATAATCTACTAAACACTTCTCTATATAAATGAATTACAGTGATCTTAGCTAGAAATTATTTGTTTATACATATTAATAAATTCATGAAGTAGTTATTTAATAATTGAAAGTGAAATATTTTCTTCATGTTTTCGTATATGATTGCTAAATTTATGTATAATAGGCACTAGAACATAATTGTATTACACATGTAGATTGAAAAAGATTAGAAAATTAACGTAATGATAACAATAAAATTAAAGTTTTCCTAGTAATGATATGTATATGTTATAGATAGCAGAAAAGGCCTTTGGCACACTGGTGCCATTTAAAAATGTCTAATCCAGTGGTTATCGGATCGCCCTTGATCCCAACAATTCAAACAAAATTTTGAAAATTGGTCAAGAACTGATTAACCTTGTCAAAAAGTTTTAATAAAACCCATCGATTTATTCGGATTTCAACTGGTTCTTGACAAGTTCAACTGTTGTTTAGTCCATTAGATTGGATCAGAGAAGTTAATTTATTGTGATATCAAAGAGAAAGTAATATCAAATATATAATTCTGAAAAGATAAGGTTCATCAATACCTCAAAACTAAGATCATAAAAATCAACATCTGAGCACAAGTTACGAGTTAATTGTTTCAAAAATCACTCTATATCATGGTCATGGACTACTTGCTGAATTTTAATATGCATCTCCCCACCCATCCCTATTTGTCTCCATTTAAAAAGGAACTCTTTAATTTTCATATTCATTTTCAATCTTTTTTTACACGCAAAAAATATTTTACATGCAAACTCAAAATTTTCGTTATTTTTTAACCATGTATTCTAAAAAAAATCACTATTCAAAACTCCGTTTTTTTTCCAAAATAATGGCCATCAAACAAAGGCTCACTGAACTTTCTTTGTTTGTACTCCATCCATCGCCTTCAAAATTTGTTATCATTGCCCCTAATGTGACGGATGAAATTTTGAAAGGGCAATTAACACCCATTAAAAATATGCCAAATCACCTTTGACATCCTAATCAGCATAACTTAAAAAAAAGATAAAGATAAAGAAAAAAAAAAAAAAAAATATATATATATATATATATATATATCTCCAGTCATCTTCTTCAAAACCCATCACCCTCTACGGCCACTTCCATCCCACCTCCACAACTCCAGCAACCACCTCCGACAAATTGGACTTTACAAACAAGCTCTAATAAAATTTGTGCTGAAGATTCAAATATACACCAGTACCCATCTCATAAATGACCCAATTTACAGATCGAGAATTGGGAATGAGAACGAGAACGAGAATTTAACTTCATATACTCCTTCGCCATTACTAAATCCTTCATCAAATTCTCACTGATTCAGATTGCTATGCTTCACCCTCCATTCTCTAATAATAGCTAAATGATTTCCAACTAGCAGATTTAGTGAAAACTCCATTTGCATTCTCAAATCGTGTTAACACCATTGATACTCCAATCCATTAACATCAAAAAAAATTATAAATTATGGCGGAAACCTTAACACCGA